AGAGACACAGCGAGAAAGGGAACACAAGCAGGGGGGAGTGGGAGAGGGAGAAGCAGGCTTCCTGCTGAGCAGGGAGCCCAATGTGGGGCTCGATCCCAAGACCTTGGGATCATGACCTAAGCGAAGGCTGAGCCAAAGGCTGACTGAGCCACCCAGGCGGCCCACCTCCCCAAGTCTTTAATGACTTTAATTTCACTTCTGTACTGTTTTATTTATAAGAGATAAACAACACCCTTTTCCTAAGGTGGGTTCTGACTGTCCTCAAAGCCATGGAAAGATCTGAATCTCCCACGTCCAAACCTAGCTTCCAAATCTGCCCTTTCCTCTAAGCAGAGTGAAGATCTGGTGTGAGCTGCCCCCACAAAACCCGATTATTCCTTTGGATCCTAAGACCCTGTTGCCAGTTGTCTACACTGGGAGGCAGCATAGCATCATGGTTGCCAAGCAGGGACTAGGGTTCAGGCTGCCCGCATCTACTTGGGGACCATGTGCAAGTTATTTAGCTTCTCTGCAAATTGGGGATAATAATACCACCTTTTATAGAGGTTATAACAAGTCCTTAAATGAAATGATCCATGTGAACCACTCAGCCTAACACTTAACACTTAATAAACTATTATCATTACTGTAATTCTTATGAATGATTCTAAAATATCTAGGGTTTTTTTTTTTTTTGTAACAAAAGAAAAAACATTTTCCTCTTAGAGGAACAAAAGCGTCTATTGATCAAACCATGTGTCAATGAAAGAATTTAATATTCTATTATTGTAGAAGATAAAATATAATTTATTGTCAACCAAGATCCCCCATGCATAAAATTACTGACCCCAAAATATCAACTGAGTTCCAGATGTGTGAGGACCACACAAGAATCTGGAGAGATGCAGCTCCACCCCTAGACCCATTTGGAGAACGATTATCTGTGAAATATTGATGAGTGACTGTACCTCAGTCCTGTGATTGGAAAGTTCCTGCAGATTCTACACCGAACAGGGTGAGTGACCATTTCAGTGGCAGATAACTGGTAGCAGGTTGGGAGCCACAGGAGGATGGGAGGCTCAGACTGTAACCAAGACAGGAATTTTTCTTCTTTGATTGTTGGGCTCAACACCTGAAAAACAACGGCTCACTCAGATGTGTGGCCAGGCATGACTTTGGTCTCTAGAGTAGAGGAAAATGTAATTTCATCTTCTTTTCTGGCTGTTTCTGCCAAAGAAGTTTGCCACATGAAAAGTCAGAGGCAAGTCTGTATGTTAGATTAGATTGTCTGGGATGCTCTGCAGAGTAACAGTTCTGCCATTTGAACTGGTTAGCACATGTGTCTGCCCCCAACTCGGGGGGACGTTTGTTTGGCACTCACCCCTTGGAAACAGCTGCGGGTAGCGCTTTCCACAGAGCACAGAGCGCGACTCTCCCCCACGACAGTTGGGATCTACAAGAGGCAGGAAACCCCACGTCAGTCGTGAGAAACTGGAGAAATAGGTGACCACTGGAATCAGCACGCCTGAGTCGTGGTGCCTCCAACCATGGAGTTACAAGTACTTGGTGTCTGAAACTGGATGAACTGACCCCATCCAAGCAGACAAGAAATGTGTAGGTTTTGTGCAATGTCTGAATGGGGACAGTGAATGAACACGGGGGAAGAAGTGGGGTTGGGAGGAAGGGGGAGGCTGAGAAGAGAGCCTAGCAATTGGGGCAGTATGGGACAGCTTCCATTGTTTCACTTCTTATGATCCCAGGGATATTATTTTCACCTTGCTTTGCCCTCATTTACTTGTGAATTACATGCAACAACCATACTGTATGCATGTTCAGAGCAGTTTTAAGGAAAGCCTTTCCAAACGCTCTCAGAGCTTCCCATTTTAACAAACACCGATTTCTGAGCTAGGGCATTAATGATTACCCTTGTTTAAAGCAAGGGGTGCGTGAGATTTAATATTTTGCTCTGGGTAAAAATAAAACGTGCTTTATTTGCAGAACTGAGATCTCACTTCAAGACTCCCTACTCTATTGAGGGGGGGCTCACAAAACTTTGTCCTTTGGACTCATGTCGTAGGGGTTCCAATGGCTCTCTCTGTGCCTCCTCACACGATGCTTTCCACCTTTCAATCCCGGTAACCAAAGAAGTTTCACTCAGGGACTAAGGACCCCATGTGACCGCCAAGAGGGCCAGGACTTGGTTCTGACATTATCTAGATGCACAGATATGTGTACCTGTCACCTCCATTTATGCCCATGCGGTCGTGAGTCCTAATTTCACGTCTGATGTCTTCTAGGGCACTGGCTGTCAGGAGGCATTGCCTGCAAGCTCAAAAGCAATTTCAAAGACCCCCCTGCTGAGTCCATCAACTCGAATAAACATTCTTCTAATCAGGAAAGTGGCACTTAGAACCACTTTGCTGACAATTAGCCAGGCAGGAGTCAACAAACATTTGCGTAATAGTGACAAGATGGCTGTCCTTTTTATTGATAATAACCCCGTCACCAGCTGAACAGAAGTAACTGCTCCCTACATCATTTGGCCTTTGTCTGAAAAACTAACTCATTCCCCGTACTTTGGCCTGTGAGTGTTGATGAACTAACTGGACACTCAGTTAGAGGGTGTTTCTGAGCCCTTGGGAAGGGGGGTTAACCTCATGTCAAATAAGGGAAGGGTATCAGATGGGGTTGACCTGCCAGCTCTGCGATGCTGACATCAGTCCAAAGAAAGCTCACTTCTGGAGTGGGTTTTAACCTTCATTTTTGGCTTAAGTACGTGCACGAAGATTTTGTGGATTAATCGCCCATTTGACTAATTTCTTGCAGGTGTGCTATGGAAGATTGCATGTGGCTAGATGGTATGCTAGGACAGGCAGAATGCCACTTGAAATGATAATTAGGATTCTTGGGGGAGTGGTTTGAATCACACAGTGGGGCCTGGAATTTTCTATGGGAATCCATCTCTGAGTTCTTAATGGAAGTCAATGGGAGGATAATTCACCAGGCAAATTTCCACCTTCCTAAGAGTTTTCTCAGGAGTGTACTAATGCACGGGTGGGAGACAGAGCACTGCTAGACCTGCCATTTCAGCAGCTCATTGACCTCATTTGAACCTGGAGCAAGGGCACATTTTTAGGGCTTGTTGGATGGGGTGCTAGTCTGGGGCTACAGTAGTTAGAAAGTGAGCACAAGGATTTCTACAGAAGGAAAATGCCCCTCAGAACACCTACTTTCGTGATATTCACTTAAGCCCTCTAGTCTTTGAAGTCTGACTGCATAAATGGATGGGCAGACTTTTCCACTCTCTCTGGCTCTCCACCAGCTTGAGTCCTGAGATGTGAGCATTCTTGGGGTAGTACCTCTGCTCTGGCACATATGCCTGAGTGTCAGCAGAAAGCTGGTGATGGGATCTACGTGCCACCACCACCATCAGAACAGCTCTGAAATAACTATGCCTGATGTTTAACTTTCTAAATTTTTAAAAAATCATCACTCTGTTTAAAAAATATGAACATATTGAATATCATTGGGAATTTCTAGAATAAATTAAATATTAACTATTATGATCAATATGAACATAAGATATTAAGACCAAATCAAAGCACAGGTAATTTTGGATAGGTTTTTCTTTCTCTCTGTCTTTTTTCTTAAGACTTATTTATTTATTTATTTTGGAGAGAGAGAGAGAGAGAGAGAGCAAGTGCAGGGGGAAGGGACAGAGGGAGAAGGAGAGAGAGAGAATCTCAAGCAGACTCTTCCCTGAGCATGGAGCCTGATGGGGGGCTCGATTTCACAACCCTGAGATTATGACCTGAGCTGAAATTAAGAGTCAGATGCTTAGACTGAGCCACCCAGGTGCCCTGGATAGGTTTTTCTAACCCATACTCCCAGTCCTAGAGTTCTGATAATCTTCCTCTTTACCCACCCCCTTCATGACTATCCCCAGTTCAGAATTCTTGGTCCTGAAGAGTACCAGAATATGCCACCCCCAAATGTGTCTCTTTGGCATATGGATTATTTTGAGCTAAAGGCCAATGAAAACCAACAGATGCAGAAAAAGCTCTAAAAGCAGAACACAAGTTTTCCTTTTGTCAAGAAAATGTACACTTATGAGGGAAATTTTCATTTGCCAAAGTTGTCTCCCTCTCCCTACTGGAAGAAGAGGGCTCTTAACAACTCTTATCAATGGAGAAGGTACCAACTTAAATCCTCACAACAAACTTTACTAAACAACCCTTGTTCAGCATACTTTTCCTGGTCACCTTCTCATCACTTTCCTTCCCCACCAGGAAGCCCAGAACCCCTTTCCCTTTGTTTAGCTTAAGATTGTATGTAAGCCTGAGTTCTAGTCAGCCCTTAGAGTTACTCATCACTGGGCACTCCCATGTGTATGTGCCATATACATGTTAATAAACTTCTGTTTGTTCTCCTTTTGTTAATCTGTCTTTTGTCAGTCTAATTGACAGGACCCCAGCCCTTACAAAGATTATTCTTACAAAGATTACTTACAAAGATTATTCTTTTCCTCTCTTATAACCTAGACCCAGGAGAAAAATGACAGAAAGTTATTATAGTTTCACAGTGCAGAAAACCTAGTGTGGGGATTTTACAGGAGCTGGAAGAACAACAGAGACATCTTGAAGCAAGGGTAAAAGGTACACTGGGACAGTAACCTCTTCTGCACAAGACAATCTGGAGGCTGCTTCATCCTTTTGTAGAAGTTTTTGCTCGGATGCATCATTTAATATCATTTTAACATTTAAGTAATGTATTTACTTTAAGGGGGGGTAAATTCCCTTGACTAGCAATAATAAAAACAATATTAAATCTGTACATTCTTAAAGCACGGGAAACGATGGAACTCTTAACTATTTGAGTCTTCAGCACAGCATTTCGTTTATGCTTTCATTAATCTTTGGTCGAAGGCCTTACTACCAGGCACGTTTTAAGCCATTGGAGACATAAACATGAATGCAATACAATTGTTCCCCTTGAGAAGCAGTCTAGTGTAGAAGGCATATATCCTGTAATAATGGCAACAAAATTTGACAAGTGCTATAACAAAGTTATGCACAGGGAGTGAAAGAGCTTTTAGTGAGGAGGTGACTAATAATCTGAATGCCTTGAAAGATGAACAGTATTTGCTAAGTGATAGGCAGTGGTGCAGCCGATAGATGGAGCTGCACAAGTCAGGCGTGGAGAACTTGGCGCATGTTGGACAGAGTAAGGATTTTGATATATAGGAGTGAAATAGGCATAAAAAGTGCAAGGAAATATTAAACACTATGGAATAAGCAAGAGAAACCACTGGTGATCTTTTCAGTGGTGGTACCTGAACGTATAGAGATATGCATCATTGCCTTCGGCTAGGCTATTTTACAACTCTGCAAGAGAATTAAAGTTAACTTGCAGAAAACAGATTGAAATGCAAATAATTCTCATCTATAGACATGCAAATAAATTCCAGCCTGGTTGGGGACCCACCCCCAACTTCCCCCAAAGGCCAGTCTTGCATCCACCTGCAAGTTCATTTTAATATTCCTTATCTACTAGCTTGCCCATTCTTTGGTTATTTCTTTCAACTAGTTGTAAGATCTTACTGAAACCCTCTTTTAATTCATAAATTAAATACATTTTTGGACTCGTGTTCATTTTATATTCCTAAAAAAATCATGATTTTACCTCTTTTTGAAAAGAGAAGGATTGGGTCAAATCATGAAAGCTTTTCATATGATGCTAAGGAATTTAGGCTTTGTTCTATAGACATGCATGGCCAGTGAAGAATTTTAGGCATGAGGGTGACATTTGCATTTTGGAAAAGTCACTGACTGCAGTGTGGGGGCAGGGTTGGAGGGAGGAAAAGCTTGAGTTAGGAAGTGATTGTAATCGATCACACCTATGCTCAGGTAACAGCAGTGGCTGTAGAGGGGAGGAATGGCATGGAGAACTGTATTAAGGGAGAACTGACACTGTAAAAATCAGATTGTTTAATAACAAAGGTGGCTAATATAACTGGAACGAATTTAGAATTTTTAAGTATTAGAGATTTACCTGCTGTAGATCTGTTAATAGGTTTCTCAAAATGCTTCGAGTCATGTGTGCCCCAGAATCATAACCTCCCCTGGTATTTTCTGCATAGAGCTGAAAAAGAGCTAGACATACAAAGGGGGAAAGAAATCTTTAAACGGAATACTTGCAATACGTCTTGGAAGAACATGTGCCTTGAATTCTAAACAGTTTATTTGTAGGTATGAAGGGAAAAGGAAGGGAAAGTTATATTTCTTGATTATTTGCTTGCTAGTTTGAAGGCTTCCCAAATGAGGTAATATGATAACTAATGAAAACCAATTCACATTTCAACCTCCTGATAATTCAGCACATCAGTGATGAAGACCACGAGGTTGGTAAATGGCATTGTGAGGAGAGTCCCAGTCTTGAAAGGAATAATAACTACTTGTGTGTCTGAAAAATCCCCACACAAATAAATAGCAAGGACAACCAAGTTATGAATAATTAGAAAGCATAGATCGACATCTTGAAAACTTCCATCATGCTGAGTACATATTCAACAAGAGTCATGTGGCAGGGGAATAGAAATGAGTGAAGAAGTTAGTGTGTTGGAGGTTTGGAGGTCACTGCACTTGATACACTCAAACTCATACGTATGTTACCTCTGTATTTTGTAAGAGGGCTGTCCCCGGACAGAGCAATCAGGGCAGCAGCTGCAGGTACAAGCTTGAGCAAACCCGTTCCTGTGCTACAGGGCAACAAAACACAGAGACAAGAATGGGAAAGGCAAGGTGATTCTGGGTGAAGTGCTTTATAAAAACTATAACTATTAATGGAGACTTCTGACTTCGTTTTTCAAGTTCATGCTTTTCTTCTCTTTTCTTTACTTTCTTTCTTTATTATTTTCTTTAAGTTCACATTTTTCATGGTCTGTTTTCCTATATCTAGATTTTGACAGATTAAAAATTGAATTAAAATATTTCATTATTCATTCATTCATTCATTCATGTGCCCAACAAATATTTATTGGGTGCTTCCTCTGTGCTAAGCACTGCACTGGGTACTGGGGAAACAGGGATGCACCCTATCTTCACAGAGCAGACAGTGTCAGTTCCTTAGGATGCACATGTCTGGAAACCTAACAAAGATACAAGCACAAAAGGAAGCAAAAGGAGCAGACATGTGTATAAAAGATCCACCAGCTCACAGGCCCTCTCATAGAGCCTACTCATCCTTTGCTCACTAGCTGTGCAGATCCAAGCCTGCAAAACAATGTCTCAAATGCAGGAGGATTGTTAGAGGCAGGCATTGATATTAGAAATGATAGTCAAGGGCACCTGGGTGGCTCAGTTGGTTAAGCGACTGCCTTCGGCTCAGGTCATGATCCCAGGGTCCTGGGATCGAGTCCCACATCGGGCTCCCGGCTCAGCAGGAAGCCTGCTTCTCCCTCTCCCACTCCCCCTGCTTGTGTTCCTGCTCT